GGTCTCTACAATTCATAGATACCAGTTATATGCAAAACTTTGGGCACCCCCTGTCAAATTATGTTTTGTTTATTGAAAATAAGTACACATTCTGTACAGAGAACATGCTTCTGCACATTTTAATACACAAGTACTGTTTCTTTGCTGCATTTATCACAAGAAAAAATAAAGCATAAAATGTGGCTATTCAAAAGTGACACATTTTATACTTTACTTTTTTTTCCAATATGTTAAACTCAGATAATGAATAGAAACATTCACTAAAATTTGCAACAAAAATGCCATATTTACACTTATTCCCTGTATACGATTTATTTTCTCTAAGAAAATCAACAAAACATGATTCATTTAACTGTATTTTTCATTGCAAATGTGAAAATGAAGTATTTTTTAAAAGTGGATGCATAGGTAAAAGCATGTGCGTGCGTGTGTCTGTGACTTCCTGATGCATGGCAGGGAGTGTGCAGCTTCAGGCTGCCAGGGTTAACTTCAGAACTCCCCCGTGGAGCTCCTCTCTCTGTGATAATAGCTGCTGGCGTAATGAAGAGCAGCCTGCTAGCCAACAGGTGGTCCTTTTTAAAGAGCCCAGCCACTGCACTCAGGCCAGAGAGAGGAGAAAAAAAAACCACCATGCTAAAATGTGTCAGAATCTAATGTTCCGCAGAATGAAAAAGCTGTTTTTCTCCCCTTTGTTCGACGCTAGAGATTCAGCCTTGTTCCTCATTGTTCCCCACACAAACGAGCAACAGTCTTTTTTGACACAGAGCCATGGGGGAAGAAAGACTGAGGCTGACTAGTCACAGGAGAAGGAAGGGAGGGGGGGCTTCACTCCTTCTTTCTGGAGGGTTGAAGCCTATTAAGAGTTGGTGAGTTATGAATGGTTATGAGTCTCTCCCTCTCCCCCACACAATGTAGGGGGACTCGGGCAAAAAAAGGAAAAGCTGACTGGCTTTTTTTGAGACTGCCAAAAAGTCTTAATCACATACAGGGAGAACATAAGAGATAGCAGAAGGGAGAGAGCGAGAAAGTGTGGGACAAAGAGAGAGAAAGCAGAGGGCGAATCAGGGCGGAAGCACCTATTGCCACGAGCAGAATGGAGGAGTAGAGTGGAGTGGAGTGGGTGGGGGTGGGAGAAGAGAGTTAACCCTCCTGGACACAAAACCGGCCTCTGCTGCCCTTAACATCCACACCAATATGGCTGTCATCAATAATGAAGTCAATCATTAACTAAAAACAGTGTCGCTCTATGAACACAAACAACTTAAATTCTATCGTATGGCTTACATTGCTTAATTTTCTATTCCAACAATTCCATTTTTTTGGAAATCTTTTTTTTTTAATGTGATTGTGAAAGCACTGCTGAAAATTTTAGTGTGTACCTATCACCCTCAAAAATACACTTCCATGCCCTGACACCTCCAAAATTAGTGGCAAAATGCTGAACCAAATTTCCACAAAAGATAAAATTGACATTCAATGAGAGGTACTTCACCTGCCTATTAAGCCGCATTCTCAGCTCAATGGCCATGGGTCAGGATGGATCCTGGCTGGGCATATCTCCGAACAAAAGCTTTTATTCACATTCATAATCCATCTGTTATTGTCCGACCAATTTGTTCTCGTTAAGCTACATAAGGGGCCCAAGACTGAGACAAAAGCTGCAGGGGGAACAATGGCCGACTCCCCGTTTGCTTTGTCCCCGCGTTCAAGTATTCGCCTCCCAGGGTGCATTGCGGGCCCTTTTTTGGGGGGCTCAGAGAAAAGTGAGAGGCAGAGGGAGAGCGAAAGAGGCCTGGAGGAACACCTGGAAAAGACAGCTTTCACTTCCCTCCTCACTGGAAGAAGAGACTGCAAGCCCTCACACAGAGAACGGCAACAAGTCCTGTGTTTTGACAAGCCTGCACTCAGGCGCATTTGATAACCTGTCAGACTGGAGAAGTTAGAGCCTGAATGAAGCGCTCGATTTGCAGAAAGAGAACACTACAGTAGAACTGTAGACAGTGAAAAGGAATAAAGTCTCAAGCAAAAAACAAAAACAACCCCCCCCCCAAAAAAAACACTTTGTACTATTTTATTTAATACCTACTACTGTCATAGAGTGTCAGAAACCACATAAGCAAGTATATGTACTTAAGTACTTAACAACTTGACACAATCTGAGGCAAGTGTACGAGAATTAGGCATGCAGTTTGCACAGTGGATAGTGGACATCTGCTATGGGGTGTTTTTTGGGGGGTTGCCCTAAAGGAAATCAGATAGCTTAGGATACTGCTAAGAAGCTGAATAATCATGTCGGTATTTATTAGCCTCTATGTCAGTGGCAGTACTAGCAGTCAGGATTTGTTTATCACTGTGAGGGAGATTCTGAGTGGTTGTATGTTGTATTTGTGTAATGCATGCTGGGTATTGTAATGAGACAACATTAAAGGAGGAAAACACATAAAATGTACAAAAACATGAATTCTGTCAAAGCGATGAGGCCAAGGGACACAATTCTGGGCTAAAGAATTTTATATAACATGACAAATAACATTAAATGCTAATTGTAGACAGGCCCCATAATCTTCCACTATTGGGTAGCTACATTAACTCCATATCTCCAGTGCAAAACTAAAAAAAACCAAAATTTGAACACCAATATATAGCAAAAGTATATGTTTAAACTTTCACCAAACTATTGCTTTAACTTGCCATGTTTCTAGTAAAGTACTTGTATATGATGCAATCATGTAAGCACCGAGCAACAACATATACCTTAATTAAGGTGGAATAATCTTCCTTTACATTGTAAATTTTTTGTTCATTCCAAGTGGCACATGCATCTACACCAAATCAAAGCCTTTCCATCTTTGATAGCACTGTCCATCAGCTTCAAATGTGATTCTGCCCTGATTAGTCTTTGTTGTGCTAATTCTACCATCACACTCGTCTCACTACAGTGCAAATCCTATTTTTTGCGACAGCGAAAGAATCGTCTTATTAGTCACCATTCGCAACCACAACAGACGGTGGTCAGTGGATAATGTATTGAACACAGCACTGCTAAAATCACTGTAATCAAACGTGCTTAGAAGGTCAAAATGTGACTGTAGATCACAGGTGAACTGCCTTGCATGTGGCCTCACACAGGCTTTTGGTCAGGAGAAAAGGAGCAATCTTCCAGACTAATTGTCTGTTCATAGCTTGGGGAATCTGTAATCAGGTCATTTGTTGCAATGACAGGCTGCAGAGGTGAGCACAGACGCACAGCAGCAGTCTGATCACACACTGCCTGCCACCCTGCAATCAAGCTTTCTTTTCCACACATGCACGCACACACAGACAGTTTCTGTCCTGGTGGTCATCTGAGGGTTTATTTTTATATACAGATAAGTCAGAGATTAAACTTCATTTATTTAAATTCCAGTCTAACCTTTCAGAAAGTACAAGTTATTTATTTTTCTAGAGATATTTCTGAGGAGATTAGATATAAGATAATCCATTTGAATAAGAAAGGGGAAAATCAAAGAAAAAAAAGCAGGAGTCTTCAAAACTGGAGAATATTAAAAGATACAGAGAAAATCGTGTAAGACTCTGAACAAAACCGTGTAAGACCTGGCAGACCACCAAAACTGTCAACATCAGAAAAACAGTACTTCATCTTCGAGAGATGAAATCTTCCACTGTGAGAAGACAACTCAATACTATAGGTCTTTAAAGGATGTGTTCAAACAAAGAAGCTGCTGGTGTTCTCAGAACAATGGACTGACCACCTCAGAGTCCAGACCTCAACATCATTGAATGTGTTTGGGATTACTTGGATAGTGAGAAGCAGAACATGCAACTAATCTCTAAGACTGAACTTTGGAGGTATCGAAAAATACTTTTTTTTTAAACTGAAAGCAAGTCTCTCAAAAAGAATGGAAGCTGTAATAAAGAGTGAACACACTAATTACTGAAACATGTGGCATGTTTAGTTGCTGAGGCTTCCGTGTCATTTTCTGTAAATGTTTTTTTTTCCTTTGCTGACGCTGAAAAATAAATATGTTGTACTTCATGGCTGTTTGACTGGAAATTAAAGGTAAATAAAAAAAGGGCAGTCTTTGACTGGTGCACAGTACTGTAAATGTACATAATTTATCTAAATGGCATCTTTCAACATTACACCACAACTGTTTATCTTTACATCACAAAAATAATTAATTTTCCAATATGTTTGTGACAGTGATAGCATGAGTGATGTGCTTTTTCAAGCTGGTTTTGAGAACTAAATTCACACTGTGATATGATCTGCATCAAAGTTAAGGCAGCTGTCGCGAAAGTCTTTTGCTTGTTGTAAGTGTAGTTCTCTTTTTACTCCACTAAAATCCTACCAACATTTAATTTTTTTCTTTTGAATTTATGTTTCTATTCTACAAAAGGAACAAAATTCAGCTCTAAGAAATAAAGGCAAGGTATTTCAAGGCTGAAGACTTATAGAAACACCCAGTGTATGTTTGTCTGTAAGGGAGGAATTTGTGTAGAAAAAAAGAAATACTCAGAATACGTCTTACAGAAAAGATATATTTACAAAAATGAAAAACGACAGCATGGATTTGTTCTCTCAATTACTACTTCAAACAAACTGTGAACTAAGATAGCTGTCCATCTACACATCAAACAAAGATAACAAAAAAATGATACTGTTCCTCATTGCAGATTCACATGTAGAGTCTGTGTTTTAGGAGTGAAGGCCTTTTTGCTTTTGAATGTATGTACACAGACAGATGCATCAAAATGGAAATTCCCTCACTTCTGTGGCCTGGAACTCGCTCGCTCTCTTTAACAAGGCAGATTTAACTGCGTTGATCTTCCCATCCAACTCAGTCAAGCTGTAGCTCTGCAAAAACAAGACAGCTTTTCAGTCTCTACAAAGATTCTGTCAGAGCCCTTCATAAAGACAATACAAATAAAACTTACCTGAGAAACTGAAGCTTTCGGGCGTTTGTGTGAGTAACTCTGAAATTAAAAATTATGCTGATTAAGTGAAAGGAAAAACAAAACTGCATAGATTCTCCAAGAAGAAAAAAATTCTCCAGAAAACTGCAGTTGGTGTGGCATAGTGGGTAATATCGCTGCCCTTCATTGGGGTAGGGTTCGATTCCCAGCATGGGCAAACACGCCACACTACACCAAGAGGAGACTCTCAATGCTACGCCTACCTTAGCAACATGACTGTCAGCTGCTTTGGATAAGAGTGTCTGCCAAACACATAAAATGTAAATATATACCTCTAAGTACTCTTTGATCTACCAACACAAACATCAAAACAATCTTCTACTACTGATGTAGAAAACTGGGACAAAAGACACCATGCCACTCAAAACAGGCTACTCAAACTAAACTATATGTCCCAAAGTATACAGACAGCCCTTTTAGTGAACTCAGGTACTCTAAAGTGCATGCATTGCTGATACAGGCATTCGTTTGTGCACACATAGCTTGTTCAATCTCCACAGAAAAGCACTGCCAATACAATGGGATGCTCTGGAGAAGCTGCACATGAGCCTGAGGTCACTGTGCCCAATGACAAGCATCGGTTAGAGGAGGTATAATAAAGCCCCATAGCATTGGACCAGAGAGCAATATAACTGCATTCTCTGGAATCCTACCCAAAACGTTTGGAATGACTTAAAGTGCATGTTTGTGATCCAGAACTAATCACCCATCACCAGAACCTGACCTCACACTTGAGGCTGAATACAATCCAATACTCACAGCAATGTTCCAACATCTAGCATGAAGCTTTCCCACAAGAGTTCCCAAAGGCTGTTACTGCAGCAACATTGGGACAAACTCCTTATTAATACCCTCAATTTCATAAGAAACTCTGGATAATCAAGTGTTTAAAACTTTTGGACATAAGTGTAGATCAAGAGCTTATCTGACATCATTATAATGTAATTATATTATTATTATAATTATATAGTAATTATAAAGTGGGAGATTGCAGCTGCCAGCATAGACATCCTGCTACGGGACATAAACTTGTATCATTCAATATTTTATATTACTGTAAGGCAATCAACATTAACAGTTACTGTTAACTGACTTTCATCAACAGTAGCCAGGCAAGCCAATCTTTGCACAGTACTGATTGGCGCTGTGCAGAAGAGGCCATCAACATTCATTCTGACACCCAGTGTCCCCCTCATCTATTCTGTCCATCTCCTCTCATCAGCTACTAGCAACTCAGCTTAATTTCAATCACTTTTCAGCGTGGATATAAACACATTTGGGAACGAGATCAAATGGCCCCCACCGCAGCGGTTTAATTAATTCACTGGACGTGCTAAAAGCAATGGCACAAAGTAAAAAGATCAGCATATTTTACAGTGTACTCAATGCCCCACTTTATAGGCACTACACACACACACACACACTTACTAAAGGACATGGAAATCAGCTAGCTCTCAGCTCTGCACTGAACTAAGTGAAGCCAGTGTGAGGAGGCGTAGAATGGTTCAAGAGCACTTACTCAGCTAACTTTGATGGGCTACAATCTGACATGGATAACAAATTCTGAAGAGAGGGGAAAAAATATCACTCATATCAGCTTTTAATGGCTTTGAAGAACTCTCTGGTTGACTGTCGTGAGTGGAGGAAAAAATACACATAAGCCAAAAGTCTGCAGGATGGCAAGTATATGTATACTGTAAGAGAAAGAGTGGCACACAGAAGCTAAAGTGGCCAAGCTCTTCAAAAGCCACCGGCATCAGGAAGCCTCTATTAATGCTAATCTAGGCAAAATCTCCAAAACATTGTCTTTACACACAAGCTGAAGTTTGTGAAATCAATGATTGTCTTCTACTGTTATTTCCATGGGCTTTGCGCATTGTACAGCTAAACTAATAAAGGTGTCTAGGATTTTATAAATTAAGAAAACACTTGCGAGTTCTTCCATGATACTTGAGACATGTTTCATAATAACTCATCCTGCTACAGAAATTACTTTGAGTTTTCAACATGTATTGTGACTGCTTCAAACAAACTGATTTGAAACCTATACAATTCCACAGTGCTACGCTCCTCTGAAGAATTCAATTTGTATTTATTTCCCCCCCTACAACATACAAACACATCCTCTCCGCTTCTCTCCTCGCTACTCACTGTGGAGTGGAAGTACTCTGGGGAAAGACCCTCAAGCTCCAGAATTCGATCCTCTAGCTTCTTCAGCCGCTGGTAAATGCTCTGTGGTACGGGACCCGCTACAAGACAGACAGTCAGAGTCACACTGGATCCACTTTAAAGCAATTATAAATGTCTGGAACTACAGTATGACTATATTTTCCAGGCAATTTTATCATGTGGCGTGCATGTGAGAACAACTTCTCAGGGATGTTAGCTCTTCTTGTAGATTCCACTGACCTGCTGTTAGCTTCAGGTGGGCCTCTATGTTGTGCAGTCGCTCTTCAATGGCGGGGTTTCCACAGTCTCTACTGAATGAGCCCAGCTGCTCTCCCTGTTCAGAGCGCCCCCCTCTAGTCTGGGGGCCATATGTATTCACCACTCGTGTCACTGCAAGGGCAAAATCATTAACAACATAGTCTGCACAAGCAATTTTCACATTTTAACCCAGCAAATTCTACCTTAATTGTGGCTGGAAGTAGACAAGTACAATATCACTCTGACCTTTGACATGACTCTTGAAACCAGGATATGGTGTGAAGACAGCATCTGTTCTGGCACAACTGTTTTCTGTAGAGAATTAATAAACCATTTAAGAAAAATCTCAAGAACAAAACAAAAATACACTCAAATCCTACCTTCCCACATCAAGTAATGGGAATAACAGGTAAATCAATGAAATTCAAATATAACAAGTACAATGGCACAACAGACCTGATTACACTGAATGCAAATATGAATCTCCCTGATATAGGGGCAGCATGGCACTTAACATGGGGGGAAGATTATGGGTATTTCATGCAGTTAAAAAGGTTCAAGTAGAATGTGCTTTTCATCACCTTCTCAAATTCCCATAACAAAGTCATCTGCAAATTTTACAAACAATCACACCAACATTTCTTGAGATTCACCCTGAAAACTATTTTTGTACCATAAAAGTAACTTTTTTCATGATAAGTGTTTTTTTCAGAATTCACAAGTATATTACTTCAATCAGCCTCTAGGTGCCTGTAACATGAAGCATGTAAATATATTCACAGCAAGAGTTAGTCAGGCTAAAATACAGCCTCCATGTGTCAGCGTTAACTGTAATGAAGTGTTACAACTAAGCCTCCAGTGGTAAACCATTAGAGAAGTCCATTTCCCGCCATATACATATAAACCCGTTATATTTGGAAATTATGCACAGATTCTTAAAAAATGTACTATAGGTGAAATGCATATCAAATATATTTCAGTTTTATCACACTGATATCTGTTCTTCTAATCTGTGGTCAAAAACCTATTCATAATAAAATAAATAAATAGCCTTTTTACTAGATTATTTCACTCCAAAATATTATTTTGATGCATATATTTTTATATATTTAGAATGAAAAATTCATCTGGTTCAAACTACATGAAACCGTATTGAACAATTTGTGTTTGGACTGATTTACCAGACTTTTTAGTGACTTTTACAACTAGCCTCTCAGTCTGTTCTAATTAACCCCACCAATAGGGTACAGTGCTGTGCAAAAGTCAAAGACCACCTTACATTTACTTAATTTCCAGTCCAAATGGTTATAAAGTACAAGTTCATTTTACCCATGACACTCTATATGTCCAACATTTCTTCTGAAATCAAGTGTTTCAATTTAAGTTTCACCCCCCCCCAATAGCGTTTACTCTTCTAGGAAGGCCTTACACTTGCTAGAACAATGCTTAATTTGACTGCATTTAGCCACAAGAGTGTTAGTGAGGCCAGGTAGTGATGCTGGTTGATTAGCTCCGGATAAAAAATGCCACTCTAACTCTTCCCAAGGGTACTGGTTGGTGCTTCATCACTCAAGAAGTTACGTGTAGTTTTACTGCTCCACACCTCGATGATGGCCTTGTAATCCTCTAGCTGATGCTTAGGCTCACGTGCAGCTGCACCATGGTGTCCCATTCTCTTGACAATACTTTCATATGGAAATTATATAAACTGCATGTTTGTAACTTGTACACCTGTGTTTGCAATCAGTGCCCCTTAGCCGAATACACTCATCAAAACGGGTGTCTGTATACTTTTGGATATAGTGTGTTTCTGAGGAGATTAGATATAAGATAATCCACTTGCATAAGGAAGTAGAAAGGCAAACAAAAATTTTCAAAACTGGAGTTCAAAAAATGATTAAAAGATACAAAGAAAATGGGACTCCTGACAACTGTGCAACATCTAGTAGACCACCGAAAATGTCACCCTCAGCATCACTGAATGTGTTTGGGATTACTTGGATTATGAGAAGCAGAAAATGCAACCTACTTCTAAGAGTGAACTTTGCAGGTGTGGAAAAATATCCCTGCAGATTTCTTTGAAAAAATGAAAGCAAGTCTCAGGAAACAAATGGAAGCTGTAAAAAAAAGCAAAGAGTGGACACACTGAAAAATCTGATATTATATTTAGTTACTGAGACTTCTGTATCATTTTTTGTTAAATACATGTTTCCTGCTTTTTTCCCCTAATTCTTAAAATTAACAACTTGCATTTATTAGATATAATGACTGGAAATTAAATATATGAAGGGTGGCACCTAACCTTTTGCACAGTACTGTAAGTAACATTTGAACTTGCAGCGCTTATGGCTGAATTGTTCAAGAACGACTGACACTGGAAACAAAGTTTACAGTTTCACTTATAGCAGAGCTGTGTAGACTGCATGTAAAAATATTAGTCTTACTCAAATAATGTTTAAATTGTTTAATAAGAACTAAAATTTGTTAGGATGTGCCTCGCTCTCCCCTCTGCCTTGATTTTGTCTGTTATTTCAATGTTATGAGTGTGAGCCCAGTTCCACTTCAAAGAGGCCAAAACTAGACATATTTTGAAGCTGCAGTCTTTCAGGCTGCTGTGTGAGTGGTGCAGTCTGACCTCTTGCCAGTGGAAAATCAGCACTCTCCCAAACATTGGCAGTCACTCAGTAGACCTCTTCCCCAACCCCCCAACCCCCAACCCCCCCACATCACTCCTCTGGTGCCCTCCGATTCTCACCCTGATTGCAGTCGATCACATTGCAAAACTCCCGCACATTGTTTTCATTGATCTCCAGCTGTTTGCGCTCTATAAATGCAGATATCCTCCGTTCAATCTGGGGGGGGGGAGAACGAGAGAGAGAGAGAGAGAGAGAGAGAGAGAGAGAGAGAGAGAGAGAGAGAGAGAGAGAGAACGAGAGAGAGAGAGAGAGAGAGAGAGAGAGAGAGAGAGAGAGAGAGAGAGAGAGAAATGAGCTGTGAATTGATGAGCTATTGAGGGAAATCAATCCAGAGTCGTCTTTTTGCTGTTTAGTGATAACGAGGAACAGAATGCTGTGGGGGCTACATGAATAATGAGTTGAGAGCAGTGGACACAATTATGCCAACTATCAAAACATTTTATACTCTCAGCTATTTCAGACAGCACAGATTGCTCTGGCTGTTTGTTGCAGCGGCTGTAAGTTACAACAATATAAAAATAAAGGCCTCCTTGTCTTTCACCCACATGCAATTTCACAGAGTAATGAGCATCCACTTCATAATGCAGTGAGGGCCTGGACCTCTCTCAGGACTCTCCAACAGGGCGGCTATTCATTTCTCACTGAGGGAGAGCAAGCGCCGAGAGAGCCCTCCATTCAGACTGGACTGAGCTACCTCCAAGACCCACGGCAAGAATCAGAATAATTCAGACATTACATGGGAGACCACCTAGGGTTGATTAGATTTAGACAAGCAACAGGTAATGCTGGACAAATCAACCTTAACTACTTTTGAACACAACACCACTTAACTGCAAACGCTGATTAAATCAATACCATGTAAAAATTAAAGTTCAGAAGAGAACAGTTTTGAAACTTCACTGATGTTAATCTTTTCTGATCCTACAAATACTGTCATTTTTTGATTTACATACATTTCAATGCCACCACTGTTGCTTCCTCTAGATGTCTTGGTTTCCAGCCAATTATTACCAGACCAGACCGGACTCTGCAGATTTTCAAAATTTCTGCATAAGTAAATTATTTAAATGTAAACATAGTCACTCAGAGTGGTTTGATGTGAAATTGATTCTAGACAAACTTACCAAGTCAGAATTGTTCACAGTGGTGGTGACAGGAACCAGTCATCTGAAGAGTTTAATGCCTCTAAAAGCTCCCTTACAAAAAGTTATTACATGAAGTGGTTATGTATACTGCATGATGCCTAAGACATTGTTTTATGATAGTTCTGCAACAAGGTTTTGGCCTAAAACCTTTTTTTTTTAAATACATTCATTCATTCTCGAACGGTATATACGCAAGGCACTGTAAGGCAAACTAGTCCCGTAAAAAAATCTTTTTTTTCAGCTTTAGCTATATTTTACTATTACCAATAGTACATTAAAACGTGCATGTAGGTTATCTGGTCGTTTTGTACAGTAAATAAAATGGCTATATTTGCACTGCAGATATTGTGATGGTTCCTATTACCACCACTGTAAAGAAATCCATGAGTCCATGAGTCCATGAATTTCTCTGCAAAATACCATTTCACATCAGAACACTCTGAATGTCTTTCTTTGGATTTCAACAATCGATGGGACTCCAAGACCTAAACAGCTCAGAAAAGAACTCTACAAAATTTGTTTAGTGGTTGAAAATAAACAGTGAACTCAAAGTTAGCAACAAACAAATTAAGAAAATAAAAATGCAAATTTATCATGCTGATGAATTTTATATGAGCCACGCTGCAAATGTCAGCAAGTTATTGTTATTATGACCAGGCATACTGTAATGCAGGTCACTATATTAACATTTTGGTCTAATGCAGTATCCCCTCACAGGCAAAATAACAGCTTGTTTTATATTTGAAAGACATACTTTCAAGCTGGTGAAAATTTTAAATCTTCTGAATTCTGGTCCAGTTTAGCTCCCCTAAAGTAGTGTTCCTTCAAGTATTAACATTTTTTTTAGAATTATACTGAAACTGTTAACCGCCCAAATTGTAGATACTTATATAAAAGACACTATAAACATTTTGAACACTTAAAATGCTTACTTGGAGTCAATCTGAAAAATCTGAAAAATGTATGTTGAACCTAGAACTGCACACTATAATAAAAATAAAACATTACTTTTCAAGATAAATGATATCCATCACCATATTTATTTTTTCTGAGGTTTGAAAAGTATATATATATATAAAATGATACACTGAGTGTAATGATTGTTTAATACTGTTTCACACTCTGTATTACGCTAAATTCTATTAAAAAGAACCACGTATGTTCTCTTTGTAATTAAAATTGTAGATGATCAGTGTCCAGTACTGACAACATCCACAATACATTCCCGAAAAGCATTCTGTGATTTAATGTGACATTATTGTAGTCCCACCCTTGGGGAACCCATGGTCCAGGTTTTCAAAACTTTGCTGTCAGTTCTAACGTCTCACTTACACATGTATATTTTGAACTGTACAGCAACTACTTTAAAGGGGAACCAAATTTTCTAAATAATTCAATCGTTCAGATGTAAACAAAGTCATTTAGAGTAGTCTGATGTGAAATGGTTCATTGTGGAGAAACGTACAGACTCAGATTTCTTTAGAGTGATGGTAATAGGAACCAGGGGTCACAATGTCTACCAATGCAGCCTTTTTATTTGGGGACTATTTTGCCTCACAACACCCTGCATGTACTTCTTCACCATTAATGGAAAATATATACACTGTAGCCCAAAAGCGTATCTAACAACTATTGTAAAACAATGTCTCAGTCATCAGGCAGAGTATTATTTTATGATACTCTAGAAATAAAGTATTGTAAAACAATTATATTGCGCAGTTCCAGGTTCAACATACATTTTTCAGATTGGATATTTATATATATATATATATATATATATATATATATATATATATATATATATATATAATATATAAAAAACAGTGAACCACTCTAGAATAACTGCATTGCTTCTTCTGATTACTATTGTTACATCACAGTATCACAATATTTTACCTCAGCTTTCCCAGCTTTGATCTGAACACTGCTGTCATCAACCTGGGCCTTCCCAGTTTTTGTGGAGGCAGTGTGATCTTGTGATGTGGTTGGAATGTGCACTGCGTCTACCTCCATCTCTTTTTCAGTTGTTGTTGCTAGCTCTTTGCTAGATGTTCCTGTTGTTTTACTATTGACTGAGGTAGACAGGCTCTCTAATTCCACAATTTGCTTAAGATTTGAAGATATTACCTGGGAGAGGGAAAAAACACATAATATAAAAGTTATAAAAGGCTATACTCATCTTCATGAGGTAAAAGCTTTCTGAAGTACTTAATTATCTGGGAATACCCAAAAGCTAGTATTTATTTCTTTTTTTTGAGCTATTAAAAACTGGTTATCTAGACTACTTACCTGTAACTTGGCAATGTGCCTTTGTAAACAGTTGTACACATGGGATGGCTTCAGGTCAGAGAAGTTAACAGTGCTCACGTTGGCAGTGATGCTTAACACTCCAGCACATACTTTGAGCTGGAAAACAAGTGAAGCTTGATTAAAGGGGAATTCCACCATATTTTTAAAATTTCTGCATAATTCAGTTGATAGGAACCAGGAGTTGTAATGTCTACAACACACATATAACCATTTTGTTTACTATCCAAAAACACCAGTGAGCCTACAGGTGTCTTTAGAGGTTTTATATGTAATGCTGACAATGGTAAAATCCTAGAAAATAAGTTTTCTTTGGGTACTATTTTGCTTTACAACACCCTGCATGTACCTCTCCGCCATGAAAGGAATAAAACACGTACACATACATTTATTCAACCAAACTCTTTACAAAACAATGGTAAAAGCATGTCTCAGGCATCTGGCAATGTTTTAATAAACAGTTTGTGTAATATTTTCGGGTGAAATGCCTTTCAGAGCCATTAAACTCGTCAGAGGTCTGGTTCCTATCACTGTCAACAATTCTGACTTGGTATGTTTCTCTGTAACGGAGCATTTTAGCTACATCAGACCACTCTGAATGACTCTGATTACACCTTAACCTTTTAATTCTGATAAATCGATGGACTTTCTCTGTAAAGTGCTCTGTTACAGAAACGCACACTGGTCTCTTATTTTGCACATTCTGTATCACCAGCACACACATTTGTAGCGGTTTGAAGCAACAGAGAAACAGATAATGGACTAGATGTGAAAGGATGTTTATTTCCAGATGTGTCTTCACAAGACACATAACACGCTCTGAGTGCTGGCGTTGTTCTTCTGTATGCATGTGTCTGTATTTGAAACAGAAAATTTCAGAAAGGAAAGAAAACTAGCTTCTTCACACTCAGGCAGCTCCGTTCATTTCACACAGTCATGTACACTACAAAATAAATCATTATAACCAACCTCAGGACCGAACTCGGCGATGGAGTCGAGGAGGGAAGAGAAACAGTCTTTGAAAGAGCTTTTAAGCTCCTCGTTATGACTCGTTTGTCCGCTGTGGTTAATGCCTTGTTTACTCTCTTTGCCGGACTCCAGACCCGCTCTATTCGCCGCCATTGCACTTCCGCGTCACACGGCGCTGCTGATTGGTGGGAAGCGTTCTCTTTTTGGTTACGTCACAACCGGAAGCGCCCCTCAGAGTGAGAGAGGCAACAATCAAAAACAGTCAAAAGAGAAAAAAAAACAGTCAAATGACCGGAGGTAGGGATTAAATACATCAGGTTTACTCATTTATATGTAGTCATGGAACAGTTCGGTGGAATTGTACTTTCAGTATTTTATTTATCAGTATTTTCATATTCAAAATGAGGATTCTTCTGCTCAGTTACAGTGAGGGGAAACTAGTATTCAGACACTTCTGTTTTTGTTGTTCTGTTGGGCAATATGACAATATCGTTATCGTGATAAATAACATCACAATTTGGATATATTCAGCTCGTACTTATGTATTCATAAACATAAACAAAAGCATTTTTAAAAAATTAAATTGGTAGGGAAGCATTCAGGTCCAATTATGAGTACTTTGTTTCAGCACTATGGTTAAATTTTGGCCCCATTCCTCTAGGCAAACAGTATTCAGTTCCACAAGTGTACAACGGTCTCTTTGACAGACTTGCGATTTCAAAATCCTCTGTACATTTTCAATGAGTCAGGAGATGAAAACAGTTTCTGTTTTTAAAAACCAGTGTTGAGTTATTTTGGCCAAATGTTTACAGTTGTTTTGTTGGAAAGTCTTCCCAGATTCAGTTTCTTGGCTGATGACATTAAATTCACTTCTAATATGTCTGGTACATTGCTCCATTAACGTTTCCTTCGATGACATGTTATGCCCCAACACTGTTTGCAGAGAAGCAGCCAGTTATCATGAAGGGTATGATCTTCTTGGGAACATACATGCAACCCTTCTTTCTCCAAACATGATGTCCTGAATTATTAGACTAACCCATCTATATTGAAGTTATAAGGGGTGTTTCAGTCTAAACTGCATTTTGAATGATTCAAAATACAGGGAGGTCATTTACATTAGTCCTAAAGCCAGAATAACTAAAACAGCCTATTTAATTCTAAGGGATAAAGAAAATGGTCATGCAAAAACATGAACTGTACCTTTTTGGTACATAAATCCACACAAATATCATAAGTGTACCTAAGGGAAAAAAATGAAATATAACCCTTTAACTTTTATTTACTTATTCCTATTTTGGGTTTAATTTTATGTGACAGTAGTTCAGGTCCTTGACTGCTTTGCTCTTGCTCACACCAATGACTTTTATTTTAGACAAAAAGGATTACAAAAAGAGAAGAATAATGCCTAACAAACTCTCAGTTTTGATGCTCATAAATGCTGGATGTACTTAGATGTTTTATTGCAGGTCTCTGAGTTACTCAGTACTTTTGCTGGGTACTTTTGTACTTTTACTGAAGTTCTGTTTTGAAAGATACTTTAAACTTAGTCATTTTTTCATTGAAGTAACAAAACTTTTACTTGAGAATGCATTTAGCCTACTCTACCCGCTTCTGTAAATTTTTGTCTCTCTCTCTCTCTCTCTGTCTCTCTCTCCCTCCCTCTATCCCTATGTCTGTGCAGTGGACTCTTTCTAATTTGGGTATAGATTAAATACCAACAATTGTAAAAAAGAATAATAATTATGCTACAAGACTTTTTACATTTCATGTGAGAATGCAACGGTAACTTTAGGCAGTTATTATAGGTTACTACAGGATGCTATACAAGCATTATAAATTACTATATAATAGTAGTACAGCATTATTGTATGAAAAGGTGAAAATATTATAGATTACCATAGAATTGTTTTACGGCACCAGTATAGAACCCTTAGGGCCATCTAAGCCTCCAGAGAAGATCTAACGATTTCTGTGAAATGAACAATACATGTTTAGGTATCTTTTTTCTATATTATTGTACTGTATTGCATTGTATTGTATTTTTTTTATGTAATCATCATGCTTGTTGTGTTTAAACTCTACACATATTGCAGTAATACTCTTAGTTCATTGTTTAGGTTGAAAAAATGTATTAAATTATTCAGTTGCTCAATAGAAAATTAACCAATCAGGATTTATTTTCTCTGTGGTATCTAGATAGCTACAGCCAAGTTAGCTTTCCCATTCATTACATCTTGGAGCTGAACTGAGGGCCTAATGAGTCAGATTAACTGCTAGCTTGAGTGGGAAGTTACTGAAGAATTAAACAATCATGGTTTGATTTTTAGTAGGTGGGGCCAATTTTGTGAGAAAAAGCTCACTCTAGACCTTCTGGAAGTCAAGAATGTGTCAGTGGTAGAACTGCAACATAACAGGGAAACTATATGTTCATATGTCTGTTACAAGCTTTAAATAAAACATGCAAGCTTCAAATGCATATGTTTAATCTAGAACAACCTAATAGTGTTCATTTGACTCAGACTATGAAGCATAGTACTACAATCCTGTAGGGGCGCTGGCAGAAATTAGCATTTATCATAGATGTTTTTTCCTTGTTTTGACATTTATGGCCCCAAAAAATGACAGTCTAGCTCTAATAGTGATTGTTCACCTCTGTACAGCACTAAAGAAATTTTATACTTCAGAGTTGTGCCTTAGTATTGTATTGAAGCTAGCAGGCTGCATGTACTATAAAAATCCATTATGAATCAATGAACTTACCAAGATCCACAGTTAAATTTTATACTAGGACAAAACATATAAAGTACTTAACAACCATTTAATGCCATTTAAAATGTTGTTAAATTTTTTATAAGAAATTTAGCCTGTCATATTCAGCTTTTTGTTCTTACCCAGTTTCTCACCTAATTTAGTCACGTACAACTCCTACCTGCTAGCTAGGTGTCCCTATCACATGATGCGACCTAGCTGGGAGGTTGAAGACTAGCGATTTTCCTCCAAGCACGGTCAGTTATGCTCTCTGGGACTCCTGGCTGCAGATGGCTGTAGCATCACCAGGGACTAAACTCACAGTCTCCCAAACATAAAGCCAACCTTAGCCAGTTGTGCCACTCTGGAGCTCCCAGCTTTCATTTGATGACACTGCAGCTCTAGCTAATGACCTCCGCTGCCAATCAAGCATTATTGCTAAGTTGGATGAACTTGTGAATTGTGTCCATCAAGGTGACCTGACCTTTACTAGGGGCTGATGAATGTGACACTGATTCAGTATCGACCGTGTCCAGTGTCCCCCTCTTGGTGATACTGTCAGATTCTGTCCTCTAAATCACTTCAATTTTTACATTTGTGTTTTTTTTCCAAGCAACTCTCTGAAAAGGCTTTCCCCCATTTATAGCAATACTGACTGTCAAACAAATGTGGAAGGGCGTCAGGGATGGGAAGCGGCCCACAATGGTGTATTTTTCTGTGCTGAAGGACTGTGGGAAAATCTCCCTGCGCTATTCATACATTTTTTTTCTTCCTCTGTTCATATAATGAGGGGAGACTGATGAACGCAACAACAGGGGGACAAAAAAAGAACAATTACCATCAACCACAAAGCTCTCAGTACTGAACTCCGAAATGTTCTCTGGACAGGTTAATCATTTTAGGAAGGGTTTTGAGACAAACCTTTCAGCTCCGGTCCTTTCTGGGGTGCTGTTTAATTCTTCCAGTGTGGGGAGGGAACTGTAACACTTGACATCTTTTGACATTTTGCTGTTAGTGCATATTCCCACGCTGCAAGACAGAAAAATAATGATAAAACTGCTCATTTTAGTATCCAAAACAAGCTGAGATGTTCAGCTTTACTGGTTGAGGGTTTATCATTATGTTGCTGAACCTTAGAACTCATAAAAACAGCGACAGTTATGCAATGCATTGTTTTGTTTATTTATTTATTTTTTTAAATAACGTTTTTTTTATCCTTGTTCTCTCCTGTCTACTAATAGCTTACTAATTAGTTTATTTCATGTTCTTCCATTTGCTTCAGATAAGCTAGTCTAAAATTCAGTCTCTCTCTCTATCACTCTCTCTTTCTCTCTCCCCCCCCCCTCTCTCTCTCTCTCTCTCTCTCTCTCTCTTTCTCTTTCTCTTTCTCTCTCTCTCTGTTTTTTCAGGGCAATGGAGATGCTAAAAAAAGGCTGCTGTTCCGTGAGAATTAAGTTACATTGATGTTACATTGTTTACATTGATTTTCTATTAGATTATTAAAGACATTCAGTTGGAGTAAACAATGTAACTACAAGATATTGCATGTGATAGAAAGACTACGTACTACATTTCTTCAAGTCTTTTTTATGTTTATGATGAAATATATATATTTTTCTATGAAAGACATGGGGAAGCAGACCGTGACCAGTTGTATATACGAAGACGATGCTGTAGAGGACGGAGCAGGAGATGGTGAGCTAAGTTCATAGATGTTCTATTGCCGTTCTTTCTACTCCTATAGAGGTGTTATGGAATGAGGAGTTTGATATTTAGAAACCTCTTAACTTCTCTGTTTGCACAATTAGAAAAAAAGTCTATTTTTCCTCCACTAAAGAAAGTCAAATATACTTTGTTGGGAATTTATTTCAAAATCCATCTAAAACATTCCTTCTTTTTGGGTGGGGTGGGGTAGTGGTGGCTTATAGATTCTAAACGTTGCTAAGTTTTCTACCTCCTTGTCTCATGCCTCCCCCCCTCTGCCCCCACTCTTGGGTGACTGCACCTGTCACCTGGGGGCCCCTGCCTGCACTCAGGATCAATTTACATAACCTCATTTAGCAGTTCACAAATCAGAGCCATTAAGAGCTGCTAACAGGAACCAAGGGTTCTAATTTAGCCTGCCTTTCACAGTGGGAAAATTGGGCAGCTCAGGCCTACAAATAAAGACTCAGGTCTTGGCTTTGATTGTTGATTGTGATGGTAAATGTACGGATGATTAGAGCAGATTTTCCCCTTTATTGATTTCCTGCCAAAACACAGCATGCCACGGTCCTGTACTGGAAAGCTAACAGGGCTTGGGAGGGGGACGTGGGTTTATGGGAAGTAATGTGTTCGTGAAGCAAAATGTGTCTGCTCACCTCCATTTTGAGGTGAAGGGTTGGAATCATGTCGTTTCTGAGAGTCAGGGAGATGAGATGGAGTAATTAATGGGAA